AAATGATTCTAGTAAGGACAGTATAAAAATATGATATAGGAATGAAGCCAACAAAAAGATCTTCCACTGGTTTCCAACATTTTACTGGTCAATTTGTCTATCTCTGTACCAAAACGACCCTATCATAGTAATATAGTTATTAACAAGTCTTGATATCTGCAGGATTCAGGCCTCCAGCTTCGTTATTCTGCCTCATGAGTTTTTACAGATACTCTTTAAATTTACATAATGTGTTTGAATCAGCTCACCCAGATCTACATAAAACCCTGCTAGATTTTTAGTGGAAATAAATTGACCATTTTTGAATCTTCTGTTCGTAGATACAGAAATTTTCCATTTGTGTCTTATGAATAAAAGTTTTATTTTCTTCATAGAGGTCTTACACATTTTTCTTATACTAAGATATTTTATGGTCATAAATGGAGTAATTCGTTAAATACCACTTTCCAATTGGAAGAACATACATAAAATCGACTTTTAAAAATATTTATTTATTTGAAAGTCAGAGAGACAGAGAGAAAGAGATCTTCCATCAGCTGGCTCACTCCCCAAGTGCCTGCAACAGCCAGGGCAGGACCAAGCTGAAGCCAGAAGCCAGGAACTCCATCTGGGTGAACAAGATAGGTGGTAGGAACCCCAGTCCTTGAGCCATCATCTGCTGTTTCTCAGGCACATTAGCAAGAAGCTGGATCTGAAGCAGAGGTGGCACTCAATCCCAGGCACTCTGATATGGGGGTCCCAGGTGGTGGCTTAACCTGCTGTGCCACAACACCCACCACAAAATGAACTAATTGAATGCTAACAGTAAATCAAGGAACATTACTAAGCCCTCTTTTTATTCTAATAGTTGCCTGCTGTTTCTTCTGGGTTTTTGTATGTATGCAATCACATCAACTAAGAACAATAGCTTCCTTCTGTCTGTTTCATCCCATTGCTCACCACTTGCAGCATGGTTGTGATTAGAAGTGGTTGATGTTGTTATTTGATGTCAAACAGAAGGCATTCAAGAGTCACCATCAAGGATGGTGTTTACTCAGAGTTCTCGTAGGTACACTTAGCCAGGTTAATGGAGATACTTTCTGTTCCTACAGTGTATTGAAGTTTTTATCGTGGAAGTGTGTTGAGTTTTGTCATATACCTCTTTCTGAATCTACTGAGATGATCGTAAGATCATTTTCTTCTGAAATGATGGATTACATGAATCAGTGTGGTAACACCAAAATAAACTTGGATTCTTGGAATAAACTGAACTTGGATGTGATACATTATCTTCTTAGAGACTACTAAGTTCAATGTGCTGACAATTTATTGGGGGTTTTTTTCATCTATGTTCAGGAATGAGATTAACCAGTGATTTGTCTTTCTCAAAGTTTTGTTGTTGTTTTAAATGGACTTGCTTAAGGGCAGGGAGATATACTGATAGAGAGCTCCTGTCCCATCCCCAGCCCACTCCCCCGATTTTTTTTTTTTTTAAGATTTATTTATTTTAAAGAGTTAGAGAGAATCTTTCATCCGTTGGTTCACACCTCAAATGGCTGCAGCAGCAGGGAGCTGTACCAATCTGAAGTCAGGAGCCTGGGGCTTCCTCCAGGTCTCCCATGTGGGTGCTGGGGCCCAAGGACTTAGGCCATCTTCCGCTGCTTTCCCAGGCCATAGCAGAGAGCTGGATTGGAAGTGGAGCAGCCGGGACTTGAACCGGTGCCCATCTGGGATGCTGGCACTGCAGTTAGCGGCTTTACCAAAATGCCACAGCACCAGCCCCCCACCCCAGATGTTTTAGATAGCAGTGTTAACATTAGCCTCATAAAGTGATTACAGGAGTGGTTCCTCTGATGTGTCCGAAGTTTAGCATATCCAAAATTAAGCCACCAGTCTTCCACCTCCCAAATGCTCCACCCCACAGCAGTGATTCCAAGCTTCTAGTGGCTCAAACAAAGGCTTAGCATCATCTTTTCCTCCATTATTTTATAACCAATCCATCAGAAAACCTTGTTGGCTCTACCTTCAAAATGGGTCTGCAGTCTGAGCATTCTCAGATTGGTCCTACTCTGGTCCAAGGCCTCTCACTCCCCGATTATTGCCAGAAGCCCCCTTAATCCCGCAGTGCAGGGGGATGGGGAACTTTGTACACGGCACACTAGTAAACACTTCAGACTTTGTAGGCCACATGGCCACGGCTGCAGCTCTGCAGTCCTGCTGTTGAAACCCAAGGCAGCCATTTAGAGTATGTAGTAAATGGGCCTGTCCCAATTCTGCTGGAGTTTACCAACCTCTGCCCTCTAGGGTGAGTTACCAACACTGATGACCACGTAATGATGTTTAAATGTAGGGAGGAGCAAGAGTTTGACCTAACAGCTCAGATGCTCACATCCCATATGGGAGAACCTGGTTTCATTCCCAGCTCTGGCTCCTGACTCAGCTTCCTGCTAATGCAGACCCTGGGAGGCAGCTGTGATGGCTCATGGCTAGGTTCCTGCCACCCACATGGGAGACCTGGATTGCATACCTGTCTCCTGGCTCCAGCCCGGCTGTTGCAGGCATTTAGGGAGAGAAGCAGTGGATGGGGGAGTGCATTCTCAATCTCTCTCTCTCTCTCTCTCTCTCTCTCTCTCTCTCTCTCTCTCAATTTAGAATGAATAAATGAAATATAAGGAGGTCATGCCACTCATCCATCCATTGCAATACCACAATGGCTTCTACTTCCCTCAGATCTAGCCCCATCACCTATCCTACCTTAACTCCTGCTTCTCTCTTCCTCTCTCACTTGCTCATTCATTTCTAGCTACCCCAGCTGCCTACTGCTCCCAGAATATGCCAGGCCTGCCGCACCTCAGAGCACTTACAGTGCCTGGTACTCCTGCTGGAATCTCCCTCCCAGCAACTCTCCTGGTGTACTGGCTAGCTCAACTCTTCCAACAGAAGTCTTTGATCACATAGAAGTAATCCCTTGACCTAAGGCATATCTAGCTTTCTTTATTATGTTGATTGTTGAAACTGTAGGTTCTCTCACTAGAAGTGAACTCACCAGGGTCATAGTTTGAGCCTCTTTGATTTGCTGCTGTATTTCTAATGCCTAGAACAATATCTGTCTTAAGAGTAGACACTCAGTAAATATTTATGGGATGAAGGGATGGGTGGGTTGATCAGGATCAAAGAAATGCTGTAGACTAGAATTTCCTGTATTCCTTGGAATACTCATTCTACAAACAGGATAGACTAATCATTGGAATCTAGGTGACAAAATTCTGCTCATTATTGAACTCTTCAGTGGAATGAACTGTGTCATCAAGTTACAAACAGTATTTCACAGGAAGTAGTCAAGCAGAAACTAGAAATTAATTATTAAAGCCTCAAAATGTTGTCAGATCTATTTTTGTAACCAATTAGACACTGGATACCATGACCTCTGAAGTGTCCCAGTACAGGCCAATCCAAGGTTCTGGAATACTGTCTCATTTGTTTATGAGCAGTGATAACACGGTTTTACTTAACTCATGACAAGAACCTGTGTAGTGTTAAACAGGCCATTTTCTATTGCGTATGCCAGTGTCATATTGTAGCATTATTTCTCAGTCTTGAGATTTTTTTTCTGGAGAAAAATTGAAACCCCTAGTAGAATTTATTTGTTCACACACACACACACACAAAAAGCAAGGATATTTATACATCTTGAAGTATTTGTGTCTTGGCAGGAAAAAACTTCGCTCTCTCAACCAGGGGGAGCAGTAAAGTCTTAGCACAAACTACCAGGTGAGACACAGCACCTAGAGAGACCTCTTTATTACGTTAGTGCCTTTTATCTCTCACTGATATTGTGTGTGTTTTCTAGTTTGCCTTGCATTTTTTTTCTTTGAAAGGAAACAAAACCACTCTGCCTTGATGGAAGATGGAAACAAACATTTTAAAAAAAATGGATTACATCATTGCCCTTATTCCCCCAAAATGTTCCCTGTTCAGGAGTAGGTCAGTGTGCACCCCTCGTTTTGTGGCTGTGTGGCTGGATGTTCTGAAATATAATGAATACTCTTCTACTTCCAGAAATTGTGCTTGAGGCCTCAGCAGAGAAATAAGCAAATAATAATAATAGAGTCCTATAAAGACTTGGTCAGGTTCCTCCTCAGAGTCCCGGCCGATATGGAGAGACAGCATTACCCACTTGGGAGAAGTGGGTGAGGGGTTGGCTGAGTACAGAGTGTTTTCCTTTACGTGTTTGCAGGCATTCCCATTCTTTAGAACATGCTGGCCAATGTCGTGCTTTTAAGTTCAAAGCGTCTCTCCCCACATTAATAACTCTCTATGCATTAACCAAATATCTTACATAAAAGATTACTGTGTGCTTTCAGTATAAGGATTTTGCTTTTCTTCTTAGGCAATTTTCATTTGTTTCTTCTGCATCCTTTTAATGGGATTTGTAGGTCTCTTGAAAGGTAAGGTTGAAGTTTACAAGTCCAGTTGAACTCAATAACAACATTATTTGAAATACAGAAATTGGCTTCTCCTTTTGGCTTAGAAAAAAAAAAGCACATTTCATTTTTAACCAAGATCATGCTCCATCATATCCAAGGAATCAGAGATGTTATGCGATTTAACATACTAACTTCTTGCCATGAGCTTTGCCCTCACCCTCTGCCCGTTGAACTCAGAAATAATGATGATTTTCAACTGTTCTCAGTTCTTGCTTTTGTTAGTGCTTGTGATTATTTCTGGATTGCTTTCAAATCAGGAGAAACTGCCATTGAAATTAACACGCACAATCAGAAGTCATCCACTCTACCGAAGACTTCATGATGCTCCAGCCATCTCTGCACCAGACTGTCACTGCGATCCCATCCCAAATCATTGGCGTCAGCCTGACAATTAGAGTGGACTGTAGAGCTGCTCAGGACTCCACACGCTTGGTTCATTATTTGCATGCGTGATCTTTCAAAACAAACAAAGAAAGGTACCCAACCGCCATGATTAACAACAACAAAATGTTTCCTCTTTTTTTTTTTTTCCAGTGATGCCGAGGACCACAAGCCTTTGAAAAAAGGGAGCCGAACACCTTCAGATAGGACTGTGAAAAAAGAAGACAGTGATGATAGCCTAGTTGACTATGGAGAGGGAGTGAACGGCCAGTTCAATGAGGATGGCTCCTTCATTGGACAATACAGCGGTAAGAAAGAGAAAGAACCAGCCGAAGGGAATGAAAGCTCCGAGGCGCCTTCTCCCGTCAACGCCATGAATTCCTTTGTTTAACCCTTCAGCTCTTGGCCATATCCCATTTCTCAAGAATTTCTCTTAAGCACTTGTTTGTCTCAGCCCTCTCATACTATGAACATCGAGGCGGAAGGTCTGTTTTCTGCTGTATGTTAATATTATGAGAACAGTTAGCGCAAGAACAGAATTCAGCCAGGTAAATGTGAACTGGAGTGCAGAGGGCACACCTTGTGTCCCAATCGGCTGTTCTTCGTTTCTCGGAACTGAGAGAAATCAGCAACAGGTGATGCTGTCTCCTCTTCAGGACACACTTCAACATGATGCATGAGAAATGCTACCCATTTAAAGGACATACCTGCGTGTGTTAGGAAAACACGGTTTGATCCTTTGTTGATACTCTACTCAGCTGAACCCGCCCCCCTCCCCCCAATGTGAGTTCTGTTTTCATTGTCAAGAGTGTTCCTGTAGAATTCTCTAGAGCTTCAGATGTCTTCGTGGACATTGCCGTGCAATTGGTGACTCCGTGTCTAGCTGTCCTTAGTCTTTCGGGGAGGCTGTTAGAAACAGTGTGTACAGTCCCTACTTGCTCAATGAGTTCATTATGACAGTTGCATTTGCTGATGCTCAGTGAGGGTCTACCACCTGCTCTTGGCTCCTGACACTTCTAGGCTTCTTAATCCACCAGGTCTTACAGCAGTAGCAGTGTTCTTTCTACCTTCTCTCTCTCTTCCGTTGTTCGTAGGCCTAAGCAACGTGTATGTATGGCGATGCATTTCGGTATTTCTGCCACACAGAAAGAATCAAAAACAAATCACTCAGATTTCAAGGCTGATTCCAGAAAACACAGGGCAAGACACATGCAGTGCCTTCAGACAGTCAGCATTCCACACCACATGAGCTGGTACAGCCAACTCTAGCCTAGATTACTGTCACTGTCTAAAAGTAACTTTTAAAAAGCAGAGATAATGAAAACTGCAATGCCAGCGGGGAATAGGAAGTAGGAAAATAAAAATCATGAGATGGTTTTTCGACAAAAGCACTTCCCCATAAAGTCTAGAGAGAAAAACTTTATTACCAACTGGAACTCATGATGGTTTTGTGGTCTTTTATAATTTCTATAAAACAAATCTCATTCAGTGACAAAGATGTCAGCGTAGTAGCAAATTAATAGGAAAACAAGCAGGTTATTCCAAGACTAAAAACCCAACAGCAGCATTCCAACAGTAGTACATTATTTGCTAAGACTTAAAGTTACGTGAGCTTCTAAAAACGCCCTGCCCCATGAAGCTATGTGTGCGCAAATAGCTGTGACACATTTCAGAATCCAAGAAACCCCAACAAGTGCTTAAAAGACCAACAGTCAAAGGGACTACATCTGCCGTTTAAAAAATCAATCTAGATGCACATATATATTCTATCACGTTCCTCAACACTCTATCAAATGGTTTACCTCCAAATATGAAAATCTATAGCAACCTATGGTTGAAGGAATGCTCAATTTCATTTGCCAATAAATTGGTTTCTCATAACTTGCATCAAGTTTAATTTTAAGTAAAGCTTTTTATATGTAGATATTTTGTTGAATTTGTAAATACACTGAAAGTGTAGATGCTATATGCTTACAGGTGTGACATACAAATAAACATGCAAAAATGTTCATGTTGTACTGTATAAGAAATGAGCCCATGGATGCAGTGATGGGATCAGAAGGCAGCTGCTGCAATGTCTTTTGGGCCTCCCCACCCCTTTTTTGCTGTGAAACTGAAACAGTGGATTTTTCTACATACTGACAGCAGGCTTCCAGCTAATCTTGCAAGCTTCCCCTGTGAGGCACAGTGGGTGTGGTGCCCTGGGACCTTTGATACGTGTAGGTAAAGCATCATTTGAAGACATCCCAATGAATGGTGGTCCTGACCACTTCCGTGTCTCCATTTGCCATCTTTGTAGACCAACCTGTCTATGGGAAATACAAAAAAAAAAAAAGGAAAAAAGAAAAAAAGGAAGTGGGCTGGCCTTGGCATCAGAGCACAAAGATAAAGTTCCTTTTGGCCAATATTTTGCGAGAACAATGAAAATACAGGTTTACTCTTCCCTCATGGTAGATGCTAAACTAAACTGTGTATGAAGGAGTCACTTCGTAATAGTGCACCAGATTTTGTATTAAAAAAGAAATGTGGTTTTAATAGGCCCTCTCTTCTTTTGTAATTTGTCATGTTCCCTGTGGAGTATGAGTGTCCAAATGATGGTGTATGTAATAGTGCAGGCAAGTGTGGCGAGATTTCCATCCAAAAAGTAACTATTAAAGTAGTCTTGAGCTCTTTGTGATTTTTTTTAACTTTTTCTAGCGTATCTCCTCATGTGTTGAAACAGTACAGACTTTGATTTTTTTTTACTTTGCAAAGTCCATTATTGGCAGAGATCATTAAACAGCACACCGAACCCAGCGTAAAACAGAGCTAATATAACAGAGTGTCTCACAAAACGTTGTATGAGAAGTAGGCGTAGCCATTTCCAGTTGGTCGAGAGAAGGCCCGAGAAATCAGGCGCTGTCTCCTTCCCCGGAGTCCGGCTCCCGCCGCCTGCCGACCGGCACAACCTGCAGCTCCCAACGGCCCGCATCGCCACCCTCCCCAGACGCAACGAACCTGGTATCTTAGCCGTCAGGCTCGATGAGACAGCTGGAACGCTTACAAGTGGCCCGTGTATGTCTCCCCCTCCTTCTAAGTGTCTCAAAGCCGCCCGGCTCTGCAGATAGCCCAGGCACGGGCCATCCTCGCGTTCCAGCACCTGCATTGTGAACCCCGTCTCCCCTGGTCCCAGCATGGCACCTGTGGGACGTGCTGGCTCAGAGCCCACTACCCTACAGGTTACCTGCCTAGCCTGTTGTATGGGTGAAATGGAAAATGCCATCCGAGCACTTAGTATTTCCACGATGGAGACCATCTCTGCCGCTCACTTCCGGGCAGCCAGTCAGGGCTCCCCAGCCACCAGCCTCCCTCCCCACCTGGTGGGGCAGATTGCTGGACCTCAGCTCAGGCCACGGCACCACCGGGTGGCTGGCCGAATGCAAGTCTGACTGCCAAGTGCATTGTTCCACTCGTGGTATAAATCATCTCGCGGAGATGGTTTATGATGGCCTCAGGTTCCTTTTCATGGCTGATTCTGGAAATGGCTTGTAGAGAGGCATGAGAATGGAGAATTCTCCGTGGCCCAGCTAAAGTGACTCTCTCCTGCTCGTGAGATTTCTTTGCAGACGACCACCAGAGGGCGCCCGTGCTTTATTCAACGCGAAAGAAACAGACCTGCTAGAAAAGGCAATGCAAACCAACCACTGGGCGGTCATCAGACTGTAGCCTGCCCATGCAGAACACGATGGCCAGCTGCATCCCAGGAAAACAGGACTTGCTGCTTTCGCTGACAAGTTCACAGCGTCCAGGGAGTAAGCGTTGGCACTGTGAGCCTGTGATTCTTTGTGTTCATTGTGGCTTGCGCAGGGGCAGGGGGCGGAGGAGGAGCTGTCTCCTGGGTCCCTCCAGGCATCCCTGTCACTGTGCCGGTGGGTTGGGATGAGGGAGGCTCCCGTCTTGAAGTGGCTTCTCCCCCATTCTCCAGAGGGGGTTCGCCAATGGTTTGATATTTGGTGATGGCGTGGCACACACACACACAAAAAGCACAATTTATGCATGGACAGCTCTTCTTTTTCACTTTGAAGGAAAAAGTGTGTGTGTGTTTTTAAAGATTTCATTTATTTATTTGACAGAGTTACAGACAGTGAGAGGGAGAGACATAGAGAAAGGTCTTCCATCTGCTGATTCACTCCACAAATGGCCACAATGGCTGGAGCTGGGCCAATCAGAAGCCAGGAGCTTCTTCCAGGTCTCCCATGCAGATGCAGGGCCCCAAGGACTTGGGCCAACTTCCACTACTTTTCCCAAGCCATAGCAGAGAGCTGGATCAGAATTGGAGCAGCCGGGACTCAAACCAGCGGCCATATGAGATGCCAGTGCGGCAAGCAGAGGCGAAACCTACTGTGCCACAGCACTAGTCCCGAAAAAAGTATTTCTATTTAATAAACAACTGATGGGTAGAGGTGGGAAGACCCCTGGTGGGGAAAGAGATGGGGATTTGCATTTGCTCTGCCCTCAGCTTGCTGAGTGACCATGTGTGCATGGACCTCTGAATGTCCCTCATGCCATGTTTCTGTTTCCCCCTGACCCTGTTGATCTCTAAGAGACCCCTTTGCTTCCAAAAGTTAACCCGTGCCTGTGGTTCCTAATAGCAACCTCAAAATCCTGAGCGCGCACAAGAACGTGGTCACTAAGTAGGGAGGACCCAATAGGAGCAAAACCAGTGGCAGTGCATGCTCTCCCGAGCCTGGAGGCTCTGTACGGAGGCAGCCGTCCATCAAATAACCCCTTAAACGAGTGCACATGAGCTAGGAAGGGAAGGCACACAAGTGAGGGCAGAGCCCAGCCTGGGGAGGGGGCCACATGGTTGCCCACAGCGGCCAGTGTGCCTGCAGAAGATACAGGGCCAGGCCTGGGGATGGCGTGCAGGTGTCTGTGTTTCTTCAAGGAGCCCTGGAAAGTGGGCAGTGATTGCCATGATGGGCCACGTGATCGGATTTGTGTGTTGGGAGGGGGAGTCAGGGACTCCTGTTGGGAGAGCGGACTGGTGAGGAGTCGTGAAGGATTCTGGGAGACCTTTGGGAACCGGCGTGGGACTTTCCAAGAGATGGCGGAGGTTGGGTGCCGAGCATAGGCCCAGAGATACAGAGATGAGAGTGGGATTCTGAAGATGTTTAGGAAGCGGGGGGGGGGGGGGGGGTGAGAGCAATGCGTTGGCTGCAGAGCGTTTCACATCAGCTTTCTTGCTTGGGATGAAGACCTCTGGGACCTCCAGTTAGAGTGGTAGGAGTTGGGAATACTCAGGTAGGCGTAAAGCCCACAAGAAAGTTGGAAGAAGATGATGATGATGTGTCATTATGCGGCCCAGATGCGATCGGCTAAGGAGAGAATAGAGGCTGTTCAGAAGCTCCCAGATCTAACGGAGAGGAAGAGAGAGAGGGACCTCTGACAGGGGCCACTAAGCAAGAGCCAGGGAGGAAATAAGGGGAGTGTGCTGTCTTGGGAGCCAGTGAGACAGACTTTCCAAGACAGAGAAGTCAAACAAAATGAGGACTGGAAAAGCTTCTTAGATTCAAAACCAAGGAGACCATCTGAGGCCTCAAGAAAGCTGTTAGGTGGTGTGTGGCCACAGCCTGGAATGGGATTAGGGTGAGCAGAAGTGGGGGGTGAGGGGAGAATTTTGCCAGTGTACGATTGGGTGACCCATCATCCAATGCCAGACTGAGCTCCTTGGCCTCAGCACGCCTGTCATAGCATAATCCAAGCAGCCCACCCCCTGCCACTGCCTCTCCACCCCCCCACACACACTGGTGTCCCCTCTACTGTGTTGCGACCCTTCCACTTACTCCTTCCTTCCTGCCTTTCCCCAGCACAGGCTGGAAAGCCCATCCTTTTTCTAAGCACCGCCACTTTGCCCTGGAGTCCTGTGCTCTTCTCTTTCCTGGATACATGTAGCGTCTCCCTTCGAGATGAGACCCATCTCTGGTCTGCTTTCTCGGCCTAACCCCTAAGGAGCTGAGCTCAAGTGCAGATCAGGGTCGCTAGCCACTCATAATGCATCTGCTACTGTGTCAATCCTCAACATTGCCCCGGGCACCTGCTCTTTTTCTTAGAGCTCAACATTCCTCCCTCAATAACTCAGTAGCTGTTTCATATCTTCTCCACCTCCCTCTAACGTTAAACCCTGCCCCTTCTCTCCACCTACCCTAGCAAATCACTTGCTACAAAATGACTTTTTTTAAAAAATGAGAATGTCTTCATCTTCCTGCTAGCAAGCCGAAATGCCTGCCGTGTTTGCGCCCATTCTCTGCCTCTGCCTCCTGTTAAAACAGGGAGCTGTGTTCCTGCTGGGTGGCCCCAGTCTCCCTTCCCAGAAACCTCTCCTCTCTTTGGCCCAGTGTTTAACTGCTTCCCTTTAACTAGATACTCTCCTGACATTGTAACAGCTCAAGTCTCTCATTGGAAAAAGACCCTGGACCCCCTGCATTGCCCACCCCTCCACCCCCTTCAGTTTTCATCCTCTGGCCCCCACTTCAAGGTCAGAAAGGTTGAAATAATACCAGGACAAGATTATGAGGATGATCACAAAAGCTACTATTTGCTACCCAGTTCATCCTTTGTTCCTTCTATAGCCGCGCAACCTCTGTGGTCTTGCTCAGGCTGTGCTATAGGCACTGTCTTCAGCTGTAACTGTTTAGCTCCTTAGATTTCCTGAGTGACTCAACAATATTCTTTTTTTTTTTTTTTTTTGGACAGGCAGAGTGGACAGTGAGAGAGAGAGACAGAGAAAAAGGTCTTCCTTTGCCGTTGGTTCACCCTCCAATGGCCGCCGCGGCCGGCGGCGCGCTGCGGCCGGCGCACCGCGCTGATCCGATGGCAGGAGCCAGGAGCCAGGTGCTTTTCCTGGTCTCCCATGGGGTGCAGGGCCCAAGCACCTGGGCCATCCTCCACTGCACTCCCTGGCCACAGCAGAGGGCTGGCCTGGAAGAGGGGCAACCGGGACAGAATCCGGCGCCCCGACCGGGACTAGAACCCGGTGTGCCGGCGCCGCTAGGCGGAGGATCAGCCTAGTGAGCCGCGGCGCCGGCAACAATATTCTTTTTTAATCAGAAGGTCTCAGCCTGCACATTGGGATCACCTGGGGAGCCTTAACAGCCTAATGGCAGCCGGCCTGCACCCACAGTATCTCTGTTACAGTTGTCTGAGATGCGACGTGGACATCACAATCTTTTCAGAGTCCCCAAATGATTCCAGTGTGCAGCCAAGATGGAAACCAGGCTGAAGAATCAACTTGTCCTCACACTATTGTGTGTGCACCTAAAGTATTTCGTGAACAGTATTTTGAATATATTTCCTCACACAGCCCAAAAGTTGATCTCAAATTCTCTTGTAGTCCTCTCACTGAAACACATAGCTAGGGGAAAACGGACCCAACACACAATGCTGATGGGAATATAAGATGAGACTTTGGAAAATGGTGCAGTGGCTTCTCACACTGTTAAGTATACATTTACTATGTGATCTGGTAATGCTACTCCTAGATACAGATCATAGAGAAATGAAAACATATGTCTACGCAAAGACTGGTACGCAAATGCTCATAGAAGCATAGATAACAAAGGCCAAGAAACCCACTCAAATGTTCGTGAACACGTGGATGGATAAACAAAACATGGTATACCCTCACAATTAAATGGTGTATTTATGCTGTGAAATGGAATACTGTTGAGCTGGTTTTTTTAAATGCTAATGCATGCTACAAGGTGGAAGATCCTCAGAAACAGTATGCAGAATTAAAGAAGCCAGACCAAAAAAAAAAAAAAAAAAAGCCCTATATTACATGATTCTGTCTATTTGAAATATCTAGAAAATGCCATCTTGTGAAGACAGGAAGTCGATTAGTGGTCACTGTGCCAAGTAATGGGGATGAGGGTTAGCTTAGGGTAGCAGGAGAGATCTTGCGGGCTTGCAGGGGGAGATGGAAATGTTTTCAAACACTGCCTTGATGATTGCACAACTTGCGAAATGTACTAAAAAAATCGTTGAATTTTCTGCTTGAAACAAGTGAGTGCATGGTAAGTCGCCCCTCGGTCAGGTTGTCAGAAGGCACCATCCCTGGGCTGAACGGTGAATGAGGCTGTGTGTGAACGAGACTTGGGCTAAGTGCTCCACATGGGAAGGGCCACTTCACCTCCCCGTCCTTCTGTATCCTCAAGGAAATACCACAAGACAGCAGCTCTCCAAGTGGGGTCCCCAGAAGAGCAGTGCCAGCCTCACTGGTCCCAAATGCACACTTGGGTCCCACCGCAGAGCTCCTGAGACGATGGGGAGCAGCTGTGCTTCAACAAGCCCCCCAGCTGATTCCATGCACACTAATAATCGAATCTGCTAGGCCTGGCTGCTCTCCCAGCTGTAGGAGTAACAGTGGGCCTGTTGGGATTGCAAGAAGAAACTAGGTTCTTTCGTGATGGCAAAATGCTTGAAATAACCCAAATCCCTGTCCACAGGTAAATAGATGCCTAAGTTTTGGTGTTTCATACCAATGAAATAGTATCAAACGGAATGGACTGCACACATAAAGAACTCGTTCTGCTGAGGCGAAGAAGCCAAACACGGAGGTTTCCTTGTGAAGTGCAGGGCAAAGGGGTCTGCCAGGAGAGAGAGCACAGCAGTGATTGCCCGGGGCCGCTGGGACTTCCAGGGACTGGAACTGTTCTCTCATTCTGCTCATGCTGGTGGGCCATGGGTGTGTTCCTTTGTCAGAACCCCGAAAACTGTGTACTTAAAGTGGGTTTTATTGTATATAAGTTGTATCTCAATAAATTTGATTTTGAAAGGAAAATTAAACTGGGCCTAAGTGACTGCTCCCCTTAGTTCTCCCTCTTCTTTGCCTACCCAAAGATTGGGCCAGAGTGTTTGGCTCTACCTGTCTCTGTGTAGTGAAAGCAAGGGGCCTGGAGCCAGGCCTGCCTTCCAGAGGAAGGCCTGTGAGTGACTCTCTCCCTCCCATCCTGCTCTCTAGCAGGGATGAGGCCATCTGGTAGCCTTGGCTCTGTGTACACATGGATGTCCCCCAAGATCTGCAAGTGGAGGAGGGGTGGGGATCAGGGAACCTAATTTTACGGCTGACCATCAACTCCATGATTTCCATCCCATCTTAGGAAGCGATAGCTGATCTCCACCTGTCTCCTTTCTGCATCTGTGTTCCCAAGCTGGCTCCAAACTCAGAGGCCTCTAAGCCCTGACAACCTTGACCAGGGTCTCTGGTCATCCCATCGCCTGATCCCATCACATGGTGGTTATGATTTAACCTATTAATGTGGGGGGGGGGGGGAGGGTTGTGTAAACATTTCATCGATCCTCCTGCCCAAACCCAGATGATACCACACTGACTCAAGGAAAAACCCATGGGGGGGGCCTCATCAGTTTAAGGAAGAGTGTGCCATGGCCATTGTTTGGACCTCAGTGCTCAACAGCTCCACTCTGGGAAGCACGTCCACGGACAGCAGCTGTGCGATCTCAGCTCTTTACCCTGCTCAGCCAAGCCCAGTCTTAACTCTCCTTTCTCTGGGCAAGGAGAGGAGGAAGAGAGGGAAAAGTTGAAGACCTGGATTGGCTCCTTTGCATCCAGTTCCTCCATAAAGCAGTGGTTCCTTCCTGTCTAGCAGTTCTTCCATCACTGGGCCCAGAGCGAGTGTCTAGCGTTTCAGTGAGGGCCGGAAACATGAAAGCAGGGGTCTCCCAACTGTAGGAACCTTCATTTCAGAGCGCTTAGAGAGTTTTGTGCTCAGAAAGTCAGGATCTGGGGCCAGGCCTGAGGTAGTACACAAGGATGCTTTAAATGTTTATGAACACGATAGAATTCAAAGATGAGTTTGGGGGAGGGCTTTGGTGGCGGAGTTCAGACACCACCTGGGATGCCCACATGCCATATCGGGATGCCTGGATTTGAGTCCCAGCTCAGCTCCTCATTCCAGCTTCCAGCTAACGTGCACTCTGGGAGGCAGGAAGTGGTGGCTCAAGGAGTTGGGGTTCCTGCCACCCATGTGGGAGATCCGGATGGAGTTCCCGGTTCCCAACCAGGCCTGACGGTTGTAGGCATCTGGGAAGTGAAGCAGCAGATGGAAGATTTAGCTCTCTCTCCTTTTGTCTTTCTAGTTAACTATTCAATAAATAATTTTTAAAATTTATTTTAATGCTAAAAATACTGAAATCTGTGCATAGCTTTTTCTTAATACACATTTTTCCATGGGCTTTTTGGTGATCCCTTGTGTGGACTGTACAGATGTCACTCTGGGCTGAAATAAAGGAGCCCCAGAAGAGGATCTGGGGACAGAAAAGAGTTTGGAACAGGAGAGGACAGAAAAGGGCGTGGTTGACAGAATAACGTCCTCCCCCTGCGAACAGGTCCACATCCTGCTTTCTCCCATCCAAGCACTAACCTGGCCCCGACCCTGCTAAGCTTCCGAGATCAGATGAGAGCTGGTGCGTTCAGGGTGGTGTGGTCAGAGACTCCCCTGATTTCTGGGCCTGGGAACATGCGGTCTTACCTGGTAAAAATGACTTGGAAGGGGTGATTGAGATAGGAATGTTCAGATTCTTAAATTATTAATAATTACGTTATTCTTAAATTATTAATACTAAATTATTGTAGCACAAAACCCTAGACATTTTATATATATCCATATATATAAAACATTCTCAACATTGGAATTCCACTAAGAAGTGACCTTTGTCCCCTTTCAGAATATGTACATTTAAAAGGCTTGTTGAATTCTTGCCACATTTTATTATATCGTTGAGAACTTTTTTTCCCTGTTAAGTGTATCTGCAGCTTTAAAATGAAAATCAAAGTGATAACATGATTCAAATTTCAAAAATTTGCCTGATAATCATGAAGAGGTCCCCTTTAAAATTTTAAAAAATGTTTCGTTTGAAAAGCAGAGTGTCCACAGAGTGCTAAGAATCACCCCAAGTCCCCATTAAGCACTGGGGTCTCAGCTCACGGAGGCCCCAGAGTTTCTTAGTGCAGGTGAGCTGTTTCAAGGTCTCCACACAGCCAGTCAGGACCCACAAGGCTCTCTGTGCCTGGCAAAGCCACCCCCGCCCTCAGGACACCTCCTTGTCTCTAGGCACATCTCTGTGGGTACAGTTTCCTCGGCCCTGTGCACCTGCGGCCACCACGGGGCACAGCCAGCCGGAGGAGGCCGTCACACAGTTTGGGTTTAGGGAAGAGGATGAGATACTCCAAGGAAGCTCTCCCCAGCTGCCTGCCAGGGAGGTACCCCGTCCCAAGGAGGAGACACAACCTTCACCTCGCTCACACTGAACTCCAGCCGAAGGTGCTGACGTGTGTACTCACCACCAATGAGTTTTCACTATTAAATTATACCTAAGGGAGTTAGGCAGTTTTGAAGTTTCTCTGACAAAGAAGTGGAGCTGGGATTCCACGCCTCTGAGCTTGGGTGTTTGTCTCTCTGCTCTTCAGCCTGTCCTGTGTCGACTTCTGAGAGGAGAGAGAGAGAGAATGAGCGAGAACAAGAGAGCAGGGCGGACATGTGGTGTAGTAGTTAGGCCACCACCGGGGATGGCCACATTTGATGGATACCTGGGTGCCAGAGGACGCTCCAGCAGTCCAGCTCCCTGCTACTATGCACCCTGAGAGGCAGCAGATGATGACCCAAGTGCCTGGGTCCTTGCCACCCACATGGGAGATCCAGATGAGGTTCCTGGCTCCTGGCTTCAGCCTGGCCCCACTCAGCTGTTTCAGGCACTTACAGAGTGAACCAACTTTTCTCTTTCTGCCCCTCAAATAAGTAAATAAAATATTTAAAAATAAAATATGGCAATTAATAAAAATGCAAAAATAATAGGTTAAAAGCATTGAAAAAATCTCTAAATAAGCTTAAAAGTGTATAAAATCAGTGTTTGGGGAACGATTGTAGAATCTATTCCCTGGTGTGTAAATATTAGCATCTCCTTTTGGCCCAGTTCACAACCACTCTTCCCCAAGGGCTTTGAGGAATCCCAAATAAGTCTTTTCAAGCAAGGAATAACTTACCCACTAACATGGCACACCTTTGAATATCCTCACAGGTGAGTACAATTTAAGACTCCATCTTAGCTTCATTCCTAGAATTCCAAACCACCTGAGTCCCCAGACCACCTAAATTTGTAAATTGCACAGTGGTTCTGTTTGTCGAATCACATGGAAATCATATGTGTGAGACACTGAAGATGACCCTAGGGGCCAGCACTGTGGCGCAGTGGGCTAAGCCACTGTGACACCGGCATCTCGTATGAGTGCTGGTTTCAGTCCCGGCTGCTTCACTTCCAATCCAGCTCCCTGCTAATGTGCCTGGGAAAGCAGCAGCAGGTGGCCCAAGTGCTTGGGTCCCTGCTCCCAGGTGGGAGGCCCTGATGGAGTTCCACACTCCTAGCTTCACCTGGCTCAGCCCCAGGCCATTGCAGCTATCTGGGGAGTGAACCAGCAGATGGAAGCCCTCTCCTCCCACCCCTACTCCCAACTCTGCCTTTCAAATAAATGAATCTTAAAATAAATAAATAAATAAAACCTGATGGTCCTGAACCAGTCAGGGCTGGTCAGAGCCATGAGAACCCACAGGAAAATGCCCCACTGGGTCCGCCTGAAAGTGGATTGGTGGGAGGTTGGGGTTTCTCATTTCTAAAAAACAAAGTCCTCTAAATCCGACACACTTCACAGCTGTTATCAGACTGGTTGGAAATGACCACTGACTCCTGAGCCAGGGAACAAACAAACAAACAAAAAAAGGCGACAAACAAAATGTCTCTGCTATTGCTGCCAAT